CCCCAAAACCCCAAAACCCCAAAACCCCGTTAAGCAATTGTTTCATATGTTTTTAAGAAATTAAGATTAAAAAATACAAGCGATTGTTTAAGGTAAATATTTATTAAAGCTTCTTGATATTTTATGGTTCATCTATATCCATTATCAGTAAATGTTCCATCATCAACTTTCTTGAGTTTAGCATTTTCCATGTTGCCTGAAAATTCTCTATTAGGTCGGTAATAAGAATACTTCCTCTGTAGTTCTTCTCTCTAAGTAGTAAATGGAATATCTTTTGAGGTAAGGTAATCCTTATATGCTTCTTCCATATCATCTCTAATTTTCTACAAGCCCTCCTCCATGATAGAGAAATCTCTTCTAAGTATAGCCTTTTATCTACCATTTATTAAGTCGAAGACTATACTTTTATCAAGAAAGCTATTGTCAGTTTGCTCATGATCTATAGGGATTAGATAGGTCTCACTATTAGCCATAAACCTCCAAAATCTCTTAAAATTATTCTAATCATCAGTCAGATTCTTTTCAGTATCAACTATATCTTTTTATCCTATTTTCTCATTGATGTCATAAGTACTAGTCTTCTTGTTGAACAATGGCATACCATAATTCATAATTCTAGAGAATGAAGGCAATAAACCTCTATTATCTAAGGTCACATATTTATTGGTATACTCTCCCATAAATCTTATATTGATCAAAGGTATTCTGGTTTCCTTCATCTCAGTGTGATAACCCAAGAAGTTTAATCTATTTAAATATACGTGCCTTTTAGAAGCATCTAAAGCCATAACAAAAGTAGTTTAATTTAGTACTTTAGCGTAATTAGCCAGCAGAAAGTAGTCATATGTTAATACTAAAGGCAGAAGAGGATTAATAAGCCCTAAAAATACTGTGGTCAGTAATGTTGTACCCACAGAGACTAAGAAATGAAATCTAAGATCTTTTGGCTCATATGGATTTTTGTATAGAAAGTAAGATGATTAGTTTCCCTTAGCCTTCTTGTAAGTTGTCTCATAATATGAGTTGAGAACTTTGTTATCCTCTTTGTGAGCCTCTAAGAACTCATCCTTGACTCTTTATTTTTCATAAAGATCTCTGTTCATCTCATATTCTATATCTATTTCATAGTGCTTATCCTAAAGCTTTCTCAAAATCTCTAAATTAATGTCAAGCCTCTCAAGGATCTCTTAGCCTTTCATGTCTATGTTCACTACTTGCTTGTCATTCTTATAAAAATCTGGGTCCTTAATGTACTTTTCCCATAATTCAGGGCTAACTTCAGTTGGTTTAGCCTTTAATTTCGCCTCCTCTAATCTCACTAGAAAGTCTGCTCTTCTTTGTTCAGCGGTTATATTCAAATCTTGATGAATCAAAGCTCTAGCTTCATTGGGAAATGTAGAGTATGGATCCTTCCCTGGACCGAATTCTGACTCTGGCCTCTCCTTTATCTTAAGAGCCTAGTACATTTCTTCTTTAGTAAGATCAAGTATCTATTTCTCTATTTTTTAATGAACCTCTATTTCCTATGATGAATCATCCTAAGTTTTTTGGATTTCATTTGAAAATGCTCTTAGGAATTTCTTGAGAAAGACTTTGTGGCCACGAAATTTTAACATCATTTCTATTAATTTATCAATAATTTTATCTTGTTTTAATACAATTATTAATTTTTACTTAGGGGTTTTGGGGTTTTGGGG